ACGGCATGGTGGTCATCTCCCTCCAATAAACACTCATCGAATATCGCGCACCTGTTCACCGGCAGATGTTTTCAATTTCACTGCTCTTAGTAGTCCATCTGAGTCCGTGTGGCTTTCTATGACCACACCCAGTGACCAGTTGTCGCGTTGTAGCATTCCGTCGGCCATAAGAACAACATCTCCAACCTTCAGCGACCGTTCTCTACGCAACCACTTCCGTGGAGCTTGAAGGGTTGGCAGGTACTCTCTTGTCCAACGCTTCCGAAACATCCATGTCAGGAAGTTCGCAAGCTTCCAACCCAAGGAATAGCAGCTTTTAGCATATCTAGACCAGGCCTATCTAGATCCAGCTTCCAAGCTGGATCTGTGGAACACAACCTAATTTAGTACATACTTTCATATGTATTGTGACTCATCTTTTTTTACTCTCTCTCTCTATATATATATCTGATTGCGTTTTTATCCGACGCCATCGTGTCAACTCCGTGGCACATGCTAACCAGGTAACAGTGTCCACAATTTCACATCAGTGCACGGATCCAGCTTCGAAGCTGGATCTGTGGAACACAACCTAATTTGGTGCATACTTTTATAAGTATTGTGACCCAATAATCCTTATCCCTTATCCATCCGCTCCGGTTTCCTCTGACTCCATTGGCTGCCCTCCATGGTACTTGTTAAAAAGTTGCTGTGTCTACTCTATCAGCTGATGTTCTACTAATACGCGTATCCACTTCCATTTTGAATCTGTAGAACTAGACATATTTTTAGAACAACATTCCACCTGTATTATGACCTAAGCACCCTTTTTGGTTAGAGTTTGTCGTTTGCTTCTCGCTATTTCTTTCCCTAATCCCTCTTCAGCTGGGCTGCACCTCAGACTGCCCTTGTTCGCCTTCCTTTTCCAGATCCGGTTGGTTTGAGCCTGACGAAGGCTTGGGGTCCACACTCGCAATGGAAAATTCGGCACGGGCAATGGTTGTCGGGCGCGGCTGTATCCACCGCTTTGACTACATGCGTCCGCATTCCGGACCAGGTAGAGGAACGCACCCCCTGCCTCATCTACAAGGTGTTTTAAGGTTGGGTGCCTAGCGTCTAGTCAGTCCCACATCAAAGCGACCAACGCCTAAATAACGTAAATAACCCAAATCAATCCACTGCTTATCGGAGCCCCTGAGAACATCGAAAAAGACCCTTCAGAACTCATCTGTTTCACAACGTGAAGTGCACATATATTCCATGACAGCTTCACTTTGTTCTGCTTCACCCTATCCCCTCTTGTGTCGGTTTCCGTCCAACGATCTGCCTCGTGTTATTTTACTCACTGCTTGTCGTGTTTCCAATCATCCCACCATTCATCCGGTATAACAATTCTTGTTTTTCGTCCTACTTCCACCGACTTGCTCTCTTAGAGCATTCCGCCATCCTCGCCTTCAATTTTTTCTCCTTTTGGGCTTCTCCTGTACGGAGGATTATGTTGTACATCTGATCATGCCTATGCATGCCTCACGGGGCTCCGTGAAATATACACTTTTTATTATTATTATTATCATTGGACCTCAATAGCAGAAGGTCAATCGGGGTTAGTGCCAGTCCTTGCAGGTTATCACTGGTGACGGGTTCAAGCGGTCGGTTGTTGAATATCCTTCCGGCCTCTACCAGAAATGTACTGAAAGTTTCATCATCCGGTGCCTGTTGTTCACATAATGCTGTCAATATTTTTCTCACCGACCGTATAAGCCGTTCCCGAACTCCTCCGCGGTGACTGCTGTAGGGTGGGTTGAAGTGCCATTGGGTTCCAGATGGCGACCTTGCAGGGCGCATTTATCTAGCCGCATTAACCAGTTGCCCAACTCCTCTTGTGCACCGACGAAAGTGGACCCGTTGTCAGAGAACACATTCGATGAATTACCTCGTCTACTCACGAATCTCTGCCGGGCCATAAGAAAGTAGTCGGTCTACATGCTGTGTACGGTCTCTATATGAAAAGCTCGTGACTTCAGGCAGGTCATCAGGCACCCGTATCGTTTTCAACGCAAAGTTTGCACAGAAGGGAGAGGATATCGCGCCAAACGGGTGCACCATCATCCGATACTCCTGGGCAGGTCCGCCTAGGTCTCCATCCGGCCACCACCACAACCGTAGAGAGCCCTTTCCCCTTCGGGGACCTTAACCTGCATGAACAGCTCCCTGATATCAGCCGCTACTGCAACTGACCTCAGACGAAATATGCACAGCACCACAATCAGCGGAGTAGTCAGGTCTGGGCCTTG